AGAGAGAATCACTGATTGGCTGCCTCCTGCATGCCCCACACTGGGGATCAAGCCTGCAACCCAGGCATGTGCCCTGACCAGGGAATTGAACCACAAACTCCTGGTTCATAGGTCGACACAACCACTGAGCCATGCTTTCCAGGCTATCTGCATTGTTTTTGATACCTTCAAAGAAGCTAAGAATCAAGAATCAATCTTAATTTCTTTACCTATTTCTTAGATGCATTCACTCCTCTGACCAATATATAAAAATTCATGGAATTTGTCACAATAGCAATTAAATAAGTGAGGGTCGATGAACTGATATAAATCCACCCCCATTGCAAAAAATGAAATTATAATACCACTCAGTTTATGCCTTAATATTAGCTCACCAATGATATAAGCTCTATATATGAAGGAGGAACAGTTAAAATGATCTCCATGAAAACAGGTTAGTTTACATGGATGAACATATTTTCTTCTTGGACTGCAACATTTTAATTTACAAATTAGAACACTAATATGAAGAAACTAAGATGCTTTAATTTCAAGTAGTAGATTTAATCAAGTATTCCAGCAACAGTGGTTACACACCTATGTTTTAATTCTGGAAGCGGTAGAAATCCCATCTCTATAAGATGTCATTTGGCTAACCCCATACATATAAATCACATTTTTTTCCTACAGAAAAAGCAAACACCAGATTTTTCTTAATGTCATCCACACTTAGACCATGTCCACAAGAGCATAAAATATCAAATCAGAGAACCAGTCTGAATTCTATCTCTGCTAATTCCTAAATGGGAGTGCTTAGAAAAGTTAATCAATGTGTTTGAACATCTTTTTTCTCAAGGAGCATCTTTTATTTTATTTTTTTTAAAATCTTTATTGTTGAAAGTATTATATCTGACCCCCTTTTACCCCCATTGACCTCTTCTAGCCTTCCTGCCCCTGCCCCAGGCCTTCACTACCATATTGTCTGTGTCCATGGGTTATGAATACTAGTATATGAATACAAGTTCTTTGGTTGTTTGACTTTTGTTTTCTTTTAACAAAATAGAAATAATGCTACTTTTAAAATTTTTATGAAAATTAAATTAGAATATACATTATACTTATATAATTATTTTATATAAATGCTTATTTCATTTATTTACTAGCACATAAAATTTATTATTTATGTTTATAGACAAATAAATGGTGCTCAATAAATGCTAAATGAAACAAAGGAATTAAAAAGAAGCATTAGATAACAAGTGTACACCAACAAAAATTAGAAAATCTAGAAGAAACAGACAAATTCTTGAAAGATACAAATTACCTAAATGGATTCAAGAAAAAATAAAAAATACCAACAGAACTATAACAGGTAAAGAGATTGAATCAGTAATCAAAACCTCCCAACAAAGGAAAGTCTTGGATCAGATGGCTTCACCAGTAAATTTTATTGAATATTCAAGAAAAATTAACACTAATCTTTCCCAAAGTCTTCAACAAGAGAGAGAGAGAGAGAGAGAGAGAGAGAGAGAGAGAGAGAGAAAGAAAATGCTTCCTAACTATTCAGTAATGAGACCAACATTACCTTGATACCAAATCCAGATAAAGACATCACAGGAAAACAAAAACACAAAAAACAGACCAATATCCTTTATGAATATAGATACAAAGTTCCTCAACAAAATATTAGCATATTGAATCCAACAACATATTAAAAATATTATTCACTATGACTAGGTAATATTTATCCCAAGAATGCAAGAGTGATTCAACATCTAAAAGACTCAGTGTAATACATCATATTTATAGAACAAAGGGGGAAAACCCCCACTTGATCATCTCAATTGATGCATTTGACAAAATCTAATAACTGTTCATGATAGGAAAAATAGTCTCAGAAAAGTAGGAATACAGGGAAAGTTCATCAACATGCACAATTCCTGTGGGCAACACTCCTCAGTAAGCCAGCGAGGTGGGAGAGCTTGCTTGCTTCTCACTGTGCACAGGAACCCTGCAATGCCCAGAGTGATGGGCAAACTATCTGAAGGGGAAGTCCCAGAGCCCTAAATATGTTAGTTTTTAGGCTGTGCTAATATGGGTTCAGAAACAGACAATTTCCACTGTGAATATCACCCCAAGGAGGGCCTGGCTGTCTAGCAATCAAGACGATTATTCAATCAGCTGGCAGCATAAGCTCTCTGGAATTGTTTTAGGTTATGGGAAGGTAGAAAAGGAGAAAAAAGAGAGTCCTTTATTTTGTAATTTGTGAAGAACAAGGTAGCATTTGCTCAGCCTCTTGCTTAGAGGATCAAAATATAAAGTTATGTGATCAATGCACAGCTTTTATATGTGACAAAGTTCCTCTCTTCTAAAAATTTAGTCATTGTCTCATGTGTATTTCAAGTAAAATTACCATAGCTCAGTTTATAGCAAAAAAGTTTTCTTACTCCAGACTCTGGTCCAAATTCAGACTCTGGTCCAGAATTCTCCTCCCCAAATTCAGGTGAATGACAAGAACACTGTATAGGTTAAGTCTCCTGAATATGTAATTTCTCTACTAATAGTGTAAGAACATATAACTTTAATTCTTTTTAAGTATAATTTTTATATACAGTAAAGCCTAGATTAGCCAACAAATTAAAGAATATAGAGTTCTGCTTAATTAATTTCTCTGACATAACTTAGGAGTCACCACAAAATACTTTTATCACCAGCCTTGCCTGGGATTAAAAACTGTCCTAATGTCCAAATCTACTGTCCTGCCTTAACCAAAAGGTTTTAGCCAAAATAATCAAATACAACTTTGCTTCCCCAGAACACTACACTGTGCTGCACATATGCGGTTCGAGGGAGGTAACTCACACCTGTACAATATTGTCCAAATCTCTATATTCTTCTTAGTTACATATTATAACCTCATTGATGCTATATGAGAAGAGTTTTAAAAAATGGTCCAACTTCATTGACTATATAACAATATCTGTCCTCATGAAAAATGTCATCACTATTTTAACAAAATTAGGCAACATGTTAACTATGTTGATATGTATGTCTAGTAGAAAGTAAGGCTCATACCTGATTTTGAAGTGTGGAGAATTTCAAATTTAAAAACACTGAAATGAAATAGAGAGTTCCACATATAGTTCATTTAAAAGGATTCTAAGATTGGTAGAGAGATGACAAACTCAGATTCAGGATAAACCAGTAAATTTAGTTTACACCAACATTCCAAAGATACTCAAGATGAAGAAACAGTTCAGAAATACTTACAGAGAACAGATAAGGACTGAAACACTGCACTGACAGAAGCATATTCTCTGACAAAATATACTCTTGTCCTTAATATGAATCTCAACTTCATAGGGTATATAACTTGTTCTGAAAATTCTGCTCTAGAAAAACCAATGTTTAGCAATCTGAATACCACAACTGTCTTTCACTCAGGTGCCCAGAAACCTTTAATACTAAGGATTGCCATTTTTTTATCTGAAGAATTTTCGAAGTCAGTCCTTAAATAAGCCAATCCCTTAACATCTCTATTCTTTAAATCCTTTGAGTTTTGACGCACATCTTACCGTTCCCTACAAGGAAGAGTGTACTCGACTAAGAGCAAAAGAGTAATCAATAGCAACAAACAGTTAAAATAAGTATCAAAATTCACCAGGTTTGTTTTTATGCTACTTAGTAAACTTTCTTACCAAGCATTTTAGTAGAGTGATTTATATTTTATTAGTGCTTTAAACATATTAAAATACCTTTGTTCACTTTGTAAACCCCAAACACAAAGAAACTGCTGCACTCAGATTTGTTACACACAGATTTGGTGGGTAATATAAGCAGGTTAATATGTTAAAAAGAACTTGACACAGAAATTATTAATGAGTAGAACAAGGTCACTACTTCTGAGCTGAGGTCACTTACAAAGAATGCACAAATGAAATTAAGGTTGACTTTTATTTACTTGACTATCTTCTTACATTGGATTCCTTTGGCAACATATCTTTAAACATTTAAAGCCCTGTTTACAAGGAGGCTCTGAAAGAACCTTCAAACCATTCTGTGTCCCTAATTGAATTCCCTAGGAGTCCAGTAAACTCAGAGGAATAAAGAAAAATCATAACATTTGCTAAATCATCTCAAAACATATTTCACTGCAAGGTTATGTGACCTGTTTTTTGAGGTTCCAAGATGAATGAGAAAATACTACTGAATGTTTCATTATTTAGACTAACATCAGAAAGAATTTTAGCTATTCATGGTAAGTTAGTTAAATCAATCCAGTTTTAATTTTTCTTCCAAGAGAAATCAGACAACAACTAATAACAACATTTTATACTGTACGTGACCACTCGGCCAGGATATAAAAGCTCTTGGGGAGGAAAGCATTGGTAACCAAAGACAATTATTCACAGTAAAGGTATGAGACAGAGCTAATAAAAAATGTGGAATCACCCCCAAGGAAAGTAGCATTTTATCTATGAACAACAACAACAACAAAATCAAGTGGAAGAAGAGAAAGTAAAAGTTTTTAGCAACCAATTAGTTTATTAACATGTCACCTTCCCAATTAACTTCCCAGTTCTAATTTTACTTTTAAATAAGCTTTCATGATCTTTGTACTCATAGTTCTTTCATGTGCTCCTGTGTTTGTTGTGACTACTAAGCAAAAACATGTGGATTTTAGCATTTCCAAAAGAATGTTAAATTCCTCTCTACTTACCTGGTTTGTATGTTATTCCAGGGGGGAAGAGGAATCCCTGTTGGGCAGCAGCAGCTGCTGCCAGGGTCCGCTGGTCATGTGGAAAAATTGGGATCATGAGCGGAGGCATGTGACCCTGAACCTGCTAAACAGAAGAGAGCCTATGATCAGACAGAGAGCAAATGTACGCCAAGAAGTATTTGTTTTTCACTCCTGGTGGCGTGTGGGTACCCAAACAGCCACCCACCTCCAACCTCATTCCAAATATGCTCCCTCAGAAAACTTGGGCCACATTCCACAAGTCCCTTCTCTTAGATTCCATTAGCACAGCAAGAACATCACCTCATTGTGAATTTGCTTCCACTAAATTGTAGTTACTGGTTTTCTTTTATCTCAACTTTATTTATCCTTTATTTTCTTTCCTTTTTTAAAACAAAGAAATACGTTGCTTCTTACATTGTACAATGTTTAAAGGTTTTACCCTTACACCAGCTTTGCATTCTGTGCTTTATTTTAAAAATAGTATTTAGTATCCTTGGGCAGAAAATAATGTCTAATTGTTATGTATTCCAAAAGCTGTGTCTCCCCAGTTAGGTATCTTATTTCAAAGCCTCACTGCATTATGTTAAACATATAGCTCTTCAGATTTAAGGCTACTACATCTTGGCTCCCAATTAAACTAATATTCTTTGCCATACACACCTCGATGTAACATATAAATTGCTTGTCTGGCTAAGCAGTTTTACAGCTTTATGCACTACCATGTAGCTCAGTAATTATGGAGTTGTATTCAGAGAGCATTTCATAATAAATCCTACTACATCAAATTTCATTTGACCTCAATAAATGTATCAAAGAGCACAAAAATGCAAAATAGAAAATCTTCACTCTCTATATCAGTATTTGTGTTCCATATAAAGAAAGTGAGAGCTATGACAGAATCATGCCTGTGGAAATCACACTTTAATTTCCCAGCTCCCTCCTTTCCTCCAGACATGCTGCCCCGGTTCTCGAGAGCATCACAGGAAGGTTTTGTCCTGGCTTTCCGGGCCTGATTCTATAAGTTGAACTACGAGACTTTTGTTATATAAAGATCAAAACTAGGGTGTATTAACAGAAATGACCTTTTATTCAAACGGGGTTTTTGTCCTCCTTACTAGCATAACAAGGCTACATTAATGTCTATTTAAGATATAAACCGTCACCACTAATTCTACCGGCCCCAAACCTTTCCCCTGTTTAAATTCCTAAATCTTCTTTTCAGGCAGAAATCCACACACTGGCTGGTGACCCTGTTTAAATAGCACTAACTTGCCTTGTCCTGTCCTTGTTCCCTCCACAGCCAGGGACATGGTGCAAAATGCTTCTGTGTGGGTCTAAGGGGTTTCATTTACCAACAGTTTTTCTCTAGGGAAAGCCCTATGATGTGGGTTAATAAAGGGCAAGCAAAAAATAAACACTTTACAGTATTTTTCTGAATTCATTTCTCAGGAAAATCAACTTATAATAAAAAGGTCTTTGTGCAATTACTACCTTGCCAGTGGGGCGTGAAAGAAACTAGCTTTAGGCAGCTATTTCTCCCATTTTAGCTGAGGTAAGCCCAAGTTTTGTACGTTAGAGTACAAACTTAGCCTGCTTAAATTGGAGCTGATCCCCTAGTGCCCAGGTCTTGCCTTTAACCCTGAAGAAAAACACTAAGTTTGCTTCCAACCCCAGCTGATGTGACCTGATGCAAATCTGAGATGTCAACATTGAGGGCACTGTTATACGTCAGAAAATAAAACATGGTATTCTTTGTGGGTGACTATTGTTCAGTGCAAGAGTATATAGAAGGAAATCATTTCACCTACTCCTAGAAATATGGTCCCCTCATGTACCCAGCACATAGCACAGATGCTTCACACTCTAAAGAAGGGGAGCAAGAAAGTGAGAAGTCTAGGTATCATATTTATTTAATCTTTCCTTTTGTCATTTAACAGACACTTATTACATTTTATTAATTAATTTATTTGTTTGTTTGTTTAATTTATATCCTTACCCAAGGATATGCTTCCACTGAGAGAGAGAGAGAGAGAGAGAGAGAGAGAGATAGGTGATAAAAAAAAAACAAACCCAAATGATTGCCTCCCGTACACACCCCACCAGGGAATGAACCCACAACTTAGGCATGTGGCTTGACTAGGAATCAAACCAGCAACTTTGGTGCATGAGACAATGCTCCAACCAATGAGCCACCTTAATAGCCATGGCTATTAACTTATTATTATGTGTGCTGGATCTTGAAAAGTAGCTGGAAAAAAATGGAGGACATTTAGCTTGGAATAGAAAAGATACGCTATATTCAAATGTTTGAAGGAATGATATATGGAAGATGAACCAGATTAAATCTGAGCAGTTACAATGGGAAGAACTATGTTCAAAAGAAAGAGATTTTAGGGAAGTTTAATGCAAAGAATTTTCTAATAATGAGTAATCCAACAATCACTGATGAAAGAGAGTGTGTGTGCCATTTACCTAGAGGTGGTCAAGTAAAGGTTGTACACCTACATGTGAGAAATTCTTGAAAGGACATATGAAACTGAAACCCTAATTAGATAATGACCTATACACCCTTTGCAACCTGATAATTCTATGGTTGTTTAAAAGTCAACATTAGGAAGATAATGTGATCTAGTCATTCTTTCATCCATTCAACACAATTTATTCACTATCTACTCTTCCTACAAAGGCTTTACTGCCAAACAATCCGAGCTTACATCTATACACTGCCCTTCTGTTGGCTGTGTGATCTTGAACACTCATTTAACCTTCCTGAGTCTATTCTGTCACGTAAAAAGCAAAGTTAGTGATACTACCTTACATGATTATTGTGAGGATTAATAGAAAAAGAAAGTAATGCTTGTGGCACATAATAGGCACTTGGTAAGCGTTAGGTCTTTGCTCTCTTTTTTATATAGTTTGAATATTCAGTTCTAGAAAAATTATCAACTTACTGATAAAAGAAGAAACAGTGGATCTTATGCATAATTCTAATTCAAAAAAGAAAACATGAGCCAACTAAATAATTCAGTTTGGCAGGCCAAGGCTTGTCATGTTCTCGGCAGATACCACACCTCACAGAGCATTATCCCATCCCAAGTATCTAGAAACCCGTGAAAAAGAAGAGGTGGGATTACTGGGATCATTTGAAGATGTAATTATTCATTAAGCAGCATCTTAGGAGGAAAACATAATTTTATTTTCACGGTGTCCAAGCTCTTCAGATCATAAGGGATCAATGCCAATTAAGCATCAGACCTTAATTCTTGAATCTTGGTGCCTGAAGATATTTCCTTTGTAACTAGCTATGTACATGAGAAAACTAAGTAAACTATCTAGGGTCCTTTTTAATGCCAAGGAGCTATAGGGGTTTCATATTAACATAAGCTGTAATAGTTTAAGGAAGTTCCTTTCTGTCCATCACTCTCTACAAGGTAGGAAATGTTAGATTTTCAGTGCTATTAGCTCAGAGGCAGTTTCAATAAAACGAGGGTCAAAGTAAATAAAGAGGGGAACAGAAGGCACAGGGAGAACAATAATAGTAGACTGAGGTGGAACAGAGTTTAGAGTTGATCTCACCTAGTAGTTCTCCAAGTACGGTCCCTAACTAGCAGCATCAGCCATACCTGAGAATTTTAAAAAAGCAAATTATGGGGCTCCACCCCAGACCTATGAATCAGAAACTCTGGGGTTGGATCCAACTATCTAAAATGTAGACTAAAATAATTCAGAGCAGTGATGCTCAAATTTTAGTGTGCATCAGAATCTGGAGGGCTTGCTAAAACACAGATTGCTCACCCCACCCTCAAAGTCTCTGTATCAGTAGATTTTTTTTATATATTTTTTTAATTGATTTTTTTACAGGGAGGAAGGGAGAGAGATAGAGAGTTAGAAACATCAATGAGAGAGAAACATCGATCAGCTGCCTCCTGCACATCTCCTACTGGGGATGTGGCCGCAACCGAGGTACATGCCCTTGACCGTGTATCAGTAGATTTGAGGTAGGGGCCTAAGAGTGTATTTTTCTAACAAATCCCCATGTGAAGTGAGGCTGGTGCTGCTGGTCCAGGGACTACTCTTTGAAAATCACTAATCTAAGTCAAACCCACATGGAACCAGGTGACTAGAGAGGATAAAAGATACAAGCCTGGGTTTACATTGGACAACCAAGCTGGATCTAGGGTCCAGAACTGCTAATTATCCCGTCCAGGGCTTTTTCCATTGCATCACATGGACTTCAGTGATAGAAAACAGGGGAAACCACATGTGTACACATTTTCGGTAGGAAAAATCTAGAGCCCTGCAACTAAAAACAATTGTATGTTCAGAGGTGTATTGTTGGAGTATGGCTATTATATTTATTTAGTTTCAGTTTCTTTCAAATTCTCTCTTGTTTTGCGCCCAGGACAATTTGATCATAAATCTACTGTAACTAATTCCAATAATTTATTATAATACATTCATTAGCAATGACCATTTAGCTCCAAATGATAAAATTTTCCTTAACTTGTTTTAAGTAAAACAATGATATGAAAATTCAAAGTGCCCTTTACTAAACACAAGCCAAAATATCCAAGGGCCAATTAGAATCTAGGCTGAGAAATGATAGAAAGCTCATTTCTAGCTCTATTTACAGAAGTAACGGTAGTGGTAATGATAATCACAGCAGCTAGTCCTTTCCAGTGTTTCCTATATGTCCAGCAAAGAGAAAGTGATTTACATGCTCTATCTCATTTAATCTTCAAAATTCTATGGTGTGTTTACTGTTATTATTCTCATTCACTTAATGAGGAAGACAAAACTGTGAGAGTTTAAGTAACTTTGGTCAATTAAAAAATGGTCGAGCCAGGATTCAAGTCGCAGGTAAAACCAGCTCAAAGTCTATATTTTTAAGTCCCATTTAAAGTCATTTCTTACTAAACCAACCTAACTGAGATAAGGAATATAATTCTTTGTGATAACAATTATTTGACTGGAAGTTTTATAAACATAATTGTAATTTGTACAAAATTGTAATAAATAATACACAGAAATCCAATGTACTCTTCACCCATTTTTTTCCAATAGTAGCATCTTGAAAAACTATAGTACAATATCACAACTAGGGTATTGACCTTGATATAATCCAACAATCTTATCCAGATTTCCCCAGTGTGATACTATTTTAAAGGAATCATCTGTCTTAAAAATTAGTAAGGGTAATGGAGGTCTATGAATACTTCCAACCACTATCTGTTATAGAAAACTCACCAGTACAACTCACCGGTGCAAAGTCATGTGTTGCATAACAACAATTATAATAGAGCGGGAAAATTCCTAACAGCCCAGTGACACCGTAGTCATTGTAATGTCTACAGAAACAAATTATTCACATGCTTGTTTTGATGCTGGTGTAAACAAACCTACTGAGCTGGCAGGTGTATAAAAGTATAGCACTTATAACTACAGTAGTAGGCTATACCATCTAGGTTTGTGTAACTACACTTTATAATGTTTGCATAACACACAAGTCACCAAACAATGCATATATCAGAAGGTGACCCTGTCTTAGAGGTTCATGGTTGTAATATAAGTAATAAGTATAAATTAAAGCAATAATTTCCCCCTTTCATAGCTGTCCATTCATTGTACTTACTAGAATATTATTGCTTGAAGGTGGGGAATAGAAAACAAGGGCAAGTTAGTGGGGAGAGAAAAGAGGGCTTGGTGGCTACACAAAAACACATAAGCACCTGGAGTACTTTCCTCCTATGGAAGCTGAATTAAGTTCACTGGCTGAGTGTTAGTGCTTAAGGCAGATAAAGACTTCTGAAGATACAGAAAAGCCCCCACCTTGCTCTGAAGAATGTAAGCTTGCCTTTCCTTTTCCTTCCCACCATCATATTTTCCCATCTGGTGACATGCCAGGAAAGGCACTCACACTGGAAACTGCAACCTCCAAAAATAGTTTACTAAAGAATAAAAAAATAATAGAATTCCCCTTGCTACATCAAAGAATGACCAGTCTCCACATGTATTTTCCAAGATGTTATCAAAAATTCAAAATAGCATCCTTTTTGCTTGAAAGGGTATCTTTCCCTTAGCACAAATTCACAGATACTTGGTAATTATCCTTTGATAAAGGAGTAAAACAGATTTTGTTAAGACAAAGAGTGAAACTTGATGTGGACAAAAATATATCTGAGTATGAAACTGCATTATTTTTATTGCTCTGGAAGTCAGCAATAACTGGCTGGATATGTCACGTGAATGACTAATGAGAAACTGGGAACCCATCGTAGGTGAAGCTCAGTCAGTGCATCATGGAAGGAACACAGTGCACGCCCCAAATCACAACTGTCCATTAATTCTAACCTTCCACAGTCCCTCACCAAAGCAGCTCCCTTTTGGAAAGGAAGGAGACACATTCTTGATCAAATAGGGTACATGCCAGGGGATTTTAATTGCCTGGGTGTTCCTCATGTCGTTCAGACAAGGCGGACAGCGGCAGATGCACGTGAAACACTTAGGTTCTGTCTCTTCCTGTTTCTAAAACAGAATTGTTGCATCAACACTCATCCCCTTTGTTTTCTCTGTGCTAAGTTGTTGATGATGCCATTTTTTGCCATCTGCCCCAGAGCTTCATTAAAGATACATGAATGGGCTAACTGGCCTGATATCTTGTGAGGAACAGGTGCTATTGTTTGTCCCTGAAGACTTGCACTAAAGATATGACTCAGAATACTTGAGAAAGAGCATCTGCAGCAGTCAGTCAGAGAGCGACTTGGCAGAGACCTGGCTACGTGCTAATATGCAAACACACTCGGGGGGACTCGTTTTCTCTTTCATAAAGATCACCTAACTTTTTTAGTGATGGGAAACAAGAATTTGTGTTGAAAATCATAAGAATATTAATGTCTATTAGTGAGTGAAAGCCAGTGAGCAAAGATCTTTTTCATGCTTTATTTCTAGAATATCATTCCTCATGGGATTTCATTGGAGCAAGCTGTTTTAATTTGTTGGAAGAAGTGTATCCAATGTTTATAAATCATGACAGAAGGAGGGAAAGACAGAGATAGAAAATAGGGAGTGAGAAAGAGTGGTCAGAGAGGAAGAAGCAGAGAATACAGACAGAAAAGGTGGGAAGGAAAGGGAATTATTTAAAGGCCATATTCTTTATTGCAAAGAAGGCTGAGTCATTTGTGTAAAGTGTTACCACTGTAAAAGCCTCAGTGTCTACAGTGAAAGAAATAAAGGCCCCAGAAAGCTTACAATAACAGCCTTCAAGGTCAGGAAGGTGTCTTCTGACTGTCTAAAAGTGCATACTCAGCTCCTCTGTAGAGTCAGGAAGGAAAAGGTCTCATTTGATAGGATAAATAGTGCCTTAACTATAAACACTTTTAATTTTAAACTTTTTGTTGTTGTTAAAATCTGTCTAATATGTTGAGACTCTTCTTTGGCCTGCCTTAGAAAGCATAATGCAGTTGGTCAACACATTGAACTTCTCGTGGTTGACCTGTTTGAAGTACACAAAGGAACCTTATATTATATACGTCCTACCCTAGTATTCACTAATTGTTTCAATCCATTAATCATCTCACTCCAGGTAAAGTGAGTGTCTTGAGTGGCCTGTGCCATTTCTATTTCCTCCCTGCTCTTATCATCGGGCTAAAAACATACTAGGCATTTTGCTTCAATTGATCCATCTGAGAACCACCTAGGGCCTAAGCACAGGTTTTCTAAGCACTAATTTCCATAGGTTAGTATTGTTAATGCAGCTGCAAAAGATGCAAAACTGTAGCTGCTCTCATTTCAGAAGAAAATAAAATAAAGAATGACTTAAATACATCTGATATCACCTTGTTTGTTTTTCATTTGTCTTATTTAGCAAACCTCTGGCTGCTGCAGCTAATGGAGGAGATCAAATCCCTGCTTCCTAGAGAATCTAGTTAGCTCTAACAGGAGGAAAATCAAACCGAAATTTCATCAGGAACAATTCTAGGACACAGCTTTTTAAAAATATTTGAGAAGACAGAGTCCCATCTTCTCAGATGTTTCCCACCAGCATCCAATCCAATAAATATACCTTGTACAAATAATGTAATTGCACCTAGATGAGGGTCCTGCTTTGTGTGATTTTGTTTGTTCATAGCAGGATTCTCTCTCTC